AAATTTTATGCTTCGTTTGCTAATTTGTTGTGAGAAAAGCGTCGGAACACTAACTCTTTTCCAGATGTTGTACGTGGGTGCCACGAAAAGTGAGAAAGAGCCTCCTCGCTTAGTTCAGTGTCTGTTATTGATTCGTTACGAAAACAAATATTTTACAGCAAAATCTCTTAGATGTATGTAAAAACAGCAATTGACTGGTCTTTGATAAGATCACCGAAATCGGCTAGACCACCAGTACCGGAGTTCGCTGTTTTTGATCTTTATCGGACTTATTGGTCTCTCCTCTACTCCCACTACCCGTCATTCATATGTTCGAAATGGAACACGCAAACAGAGGATTTCTAAACTTCCATCTAAGGTGTTATGGTGTCTCCAACTCCTTAGCAGAACAGCTGCCATAAGTCCATAAGGAAAAGCCGTGCTGATCAAAAAAATCTGTACAGGCAAAAATAGCGTAAACTTTGAAAAATGAAGCCAACATTCCGAGAAATTTAGGGCAAAAATTTTTTCAATATTCCTCGTAGAGATTGAAACTGATCCGGCAGACTAAAAATTCTACATCATAATCTGAATTTTGCGTTCTCATGTGCCATGAGTTCACTAGTGTTTTGAGATTTTCTAATTTTCACCTCGGAAAAATTTGATCAGCCTAGGCAATAAGATTATCAGTGTAGTACCCTCGTTGTCAGCTGCCAGCATTCTTTTATCCTGAGCGCTAAAACATCGGATTGCATTGCTGACTTAACGTCTGCAGTTAACACTAATCTTAGTGGCTGAACAACTATGATTTTTGACTCAAATAAATGTTTCTTACAGAATAAATGTTCCTTACAGCATCGGTTTTCTTAAGAAATAGGATACTTTGATCAGGTGTATTGTCAACGCGCTGTTTTCAAAGTTCGCAAAAATTGGGAATTCTGAAAATTTTGAAGAAAGCGAAAAAATTCTCTGCCGAAGAAAGCTGAAATTTCATCAGCAAAAAAACTAGGTACCTGAGATTAAGAAAATGTTCTACAAGCAGGCACAGCAAACTGAGCAACAGGACAAAAAAAAATAGAAAGACAAGCAAAATCTAAAAAAAGGGGTGCATCCAGTTTTGCTAGTTGATTACTTAAAATTTGCAAAATGGTAAAAACAGCAAAATTTTAGTAAAATTTTTGGAGAATGCTTAGAAATACATATCAACTGTATGTGAAAGTCAAAAAATACACTGAAGTTTTTTTAAAATCATCAGAAACGAGAATATCCATTTACAAGTTCCACAGAGTGGGAAAAATTTCTCGACAACTGAAGTTTTTTTTAGTTTTGTGAGACAAACTCGGTTAGACTGGAATTTTTTTTAAATGAAGAATGTCAGACCTCGACGTGTGCAGTTTGTACGGCAGCATTTGAACGGGAGAGCGTGCGTGACAGACCAGGTGATAAGTCGGTGCGCACTTTTAGAAGACCATCTTTCGGGCCTCCGCCATTCACTGACACAACAGAGCGGGGTGAAAACGAATGCGATGAAAACTGCCATGTAGCTGATGATGCATCCTGAAATGATACTATCGTGTATTTCAGAATGATTCGTAAAAAATGTCTAGGATAACTTAGCTTTATCCTGAAAAATTCATCTTGAAAGGGGCTTGACCAGGGCAAAAAAAGCTGTTTAAAAAATTAGGACAGCCGAAAAAAAACTGTCAGAACTCAAAAACAACATGAAGGACGTTTAGGACTTCAAGAGACAGTATCTTTGCAGGCACTGCTGCAAAAGCGTGAAAATCCCGAAAGGAGCATTAGAAAAAGAAAAAAAAAAGGAAGTTATTCAAAAAACTCAAAAATCACGACCGTATTAGCCACACATCAAATCACAACAACAGATTAGTGTGTGTAGGCGAAACTTGTTTCCGCAGAAAGGAAACATTCTGATGCGTACCGTAACGTAACCGGATCGATCTTGCTGTGGAATGGTTGAATTAACGGATGTATCGTTGGAAATCCGGGATTCGAGCATTTCACGCACCTGTTCCTGGAAGCACAACAAACATCCCTCTCTCGCACTTAAATCCATGAGTTAATTATGCAGAAAGCTTCAAAGAAAGATGAGAAAAAAAAAAAAAAACAAACATTCGTATTTCATGCACGCGTAAATCCAAGAAAGCAGCATTTGAAAATACCAATTTATAAAAATCGTCTAAATTCCTCGCCTCACTCTTATTCTTCCCTCACTCAGTCTCTGCTTTTGAGGAACAGGATTTCCCACCATGTTTGATATACTTGTTAAGGCAAAATCCCGCAGCTAATATGACATCTATGACCTAAACTAGACCCCGAATAAAACAGCACCACGCCATCACCGACTTGAGTACTACGTCATTTCTGACTTCAGGGGGC